GACTGGGCCTAGATTATTTATGAGCTCGAGATTGCCCTCACGTGATAATTGATGAGGGTGAGGCCTGAAGCAATCATTATGCTTTGAAATCGGAGGAGCTAATAATCTGATTGTTCTAGTATAAAGTTATCACTCGTTCAAAACTTAATCAGAACGAGGCGGGCTCATGCTTTTCTTTTGATGTGTTTACAACCACCCACTCTAAGGGCGGTCTTTTCACTCACTATCTGTAACGGAATAGATAGCGAGTAGCGAATCAGATTGTAACATTTGGGGAAGAAAGCAAGTAGAGTCATACTAATGCAGTTAAGTGTTAGTTTTCATATAGACTGAATCTCATTAAAACCATTTCTTATACTTATCTGACCTATAGTCATTGAAAATGATCACTGGAGACACTCATGCTCTTCATTCCTGTCAGTTTTTTGTCCATTTCATGGGAAGTAAGGCTTTAAATGATTTATTATGATAAACAAAAGATTCTTCAGATTTGCTCATACAAAGATAAAACATTAGCTAGGTATTGTGTTGTGAAGGACACTTGATTTGTGGGTTGCACAACAATGTTTGGACGGCTTAAATATTGTTTACTTTTATTTAATACCTTTCCCTGGTGTTGGCAATATGAATACAATTTATGATTCAAATGTTTTTATCTGATCTGTTTACGTTTTTCCTTGTCTAGATTGTTGAAGCGAATAACAATGGTTAGAGTTGCTTAATAACCATGCAGTCATGCCGGCGACAATGTTCATACCAGTCAATGAATCACAACATAGTAAAATAGATATGAATAATAACACTGATCTTTTCGCTGATGAACATAGAGTAGACGACGGAAAAAGCAGTTGCGAGTCTGTTACAAGCCTCTAAATATTCGAATACGTCACAACTGTGGGGTAACTACTTATAAGGTAATCTGAAAGGAGAAAATATTACGTAATTGTTCCGAATAACATCAGTGAAAATAATGATTTTCGGAAATCATTATAAACAATTATGTTTACTCTCTTATTTCAAGGCCCGCTTTCGCGTGCGACATACACATGGAAACTTTTGATGGATTGTTTCATAGATCTTTATTCTGACGACCGGCCTTGTCTTATGAACCTTGGATATCAAGGTTTCTTTGGTTAACTCTTCGCTATAAAACTAAATTAGGACTCTGTAGAAACTTAATCCTAAAAAGTAATGCCGCAATATGGCATGCTTCAGAACTGAACCGTAAAAGCAGTACAAACGGCAAACAATGTTTTACTCCTAAAGCTTGCAGTTACGAAATTGTCAGTTTCAGGATCCCATAAGCACTGGCTGGTTATTTCAAGACCCTGATCCCGAATCTCACCGATGTACACCACCGCCACCACTTTGGTCTCCGAGGGAGTAATTTCCTTGACTCTCAACTCAACTGCTTGGCTAATATTTGCACACTGAGAAACGCATCGCTGGCTATCGTAGTCGCAATCCGTTAGAGAGTTGTCCAACTCTTCTTTTATAATATGCTTGATGACTTCTTGCGATTCCAGTTCATCCTGGAAATCTTTCAAATCGGCGATGTCATGTGGTGATGATGAACTACTCAAACTCAGGCCGCTTGATTCTTCTTCCGCGCCATGCCATGTCGAGGATCGTTGTCGTTCCACTGAGCTCGCAATTCCAGATGCGATGGAATTGATGCTCGTTGTACGCAGACGACCTCTTTTTTGCTTTCGTAAGAATGGCTCCACGGAACTGAGTGTCACTGATCTTCTTCTAACTGCTGTAGAAGCACTCATTATTTCAAACTCAGTAGTGTCGAGTGTTCTGCAAAAACAAATTCAAAAACAAGCTGCTTGCCTTTATGAGCTTACGTGCGAATCCTTGTTTAGCTAACACCGTTTGCCTTTGTTCTGCTTTTTGAGCCCAGTTATATTTATCGTATCGATGCTGTGAACATTTGCCAGAGTTTAATTACGTGCGCTACACCGTACAAAGACATCAGCAACCGAGGTATTTCATAGAGCCTCTCTGAATTGATATGAAAGTTCCCGGCACACCTTATTTAATAGAATTACAATAATCCCTCTAGATAGCAGTGCTAAGATATTCATGACCGACGACCCCTAGCTTAACTGAAGAGGCAACAGTTGCCGACATAGTCAATAGTTGCTGCTTCATACTTACTTGGCCTCCATATTATCGATAGATAGATAGATAGATAGATAGATAGATAGTTTATTAAAACTGCATCGCAGCCGGCCAAAGGCAGAATTATGTAATTATTTACAAAAACTTTACAATACTTGAAAACTACAAATGAATCCTAGTTGCTTAACAGTAATTTACCCAAACCAACCTCTTCTCCCCCTCTCCCAAATCCTCGTCAGTCAGTGCGTTGTACAACCACTAAAGCGATGGAACTTTTTGTAACGATCAGGTTGTGGATCATGAAAATTTCAAAATAGAGTCACGAAATGAATTCCAAATAGCTACAAATCCTGCTCGCATGTGCTGAAAAATTTCGACCCAAGTTACAAATGACGTCATAAGTGTCTTGAAACGGCGTAACTTACCTCTTTTATCTCAGGAGGCAACTGTTTCCATAAACGAAAAGAAGCTTTCTTACTAAGATTTGTTGTTTTGTAGTGTAAAGCTCAGCTTACAGTTTGACCCAAAAATATGGAGAAAAACAAATGCGCATCATATTTCTTGACCCAAGAGGGAATTTGAGGACATCTTTGGACTTGGTTCAATTCGGCTCTTAATTCTGTCTAGCGTTGCAAATCAAACTTATATAGGTAAACCAAGAAAAAAAATGACCGATATCGTTTTTTGCTGAAAAACCGTTTTCATGTTGGACAGCATTTCCTGAACAAACAACTTAATTGGGCACAATTTCATTACCGAAAATTCTGGATTTTCCATCCCTGATAATTTCTTCCTGCGATTATGTATTATTATACCCATCGGCGTTAGGTGTGAAACGTCTATGAGTCACATTCGTTTGCCTTTGTAAAAGGCATCTTTAAAAAAATCATATGATAGCGTGTTTATTTACAAGAAATATCATCAAAATCGATCCTCCTGTAAATGTATGAGGTATGTCTGTCTAAACTTGAGCCAAGGTTCTTGAGTGTTTAATCCAGAAACGATAAGCACTTGGTTCACAGGACTTATGACTCACAGAACTTAGGTTCACAGAACTTATAATGCCGAAGAAAGAGAACAGTTCCGTGGGTTTTCCTGGTTTTCCAGATATGCGAGTTGGCAATTCTGCAAGGAAACAACAACTAGTTTAGTTTTCTGCCGTGAATCATCCGGAACTATAATTGCGTCATTAACCAAGTGTGAGGTCAAGATGGCTGGATATTAGACGAGTTCCTTTTTTGGCGTTTAGGGAGCGAGACGAAATCGAGGTCCATAAAAACGCGAAAAAAGGAACGAGGCTAATATCCAGCCATCTTGCCCGAACAAGCTTGCTTGATAAGGGAATTATTATATAGCAAAAAGATTTCGCTTTAATAAGAATCAAGATTGACTTGTTTATTCCGAGAGCCGGAAAAGAACGTTAACTGTGTTTATTGCACGATAAACCCAGGGGGGTCGTTTATGTTTCCTTTGGTGTTGACTGTCTTCTGCCGCTATTTACGACATCATCACCGACATTGTCCAAAAGCTAGGAACATTGCAAGTCTGCTGCACGCACTAGTTTTCCTGCGCGGGATCAAAGCGGCCAATCCCGAGCGGCCGAGATGGCCCTCTTCCTGCCCGTTCGAGTAGTCAATCCGAACACAGGATTCGCTTGACATTGGCCACAGGCACTGCCAGCTGTATAACAATGCATTTTATCACATGACGCGTACGGCCCCGCGCGCACAATTCCATTAAAAACCATAGTGAAAGCTGGCGTGTGCAGGGCCGAACGGGTTAAGTGAGNAAGAGAGCTGCATACCTTCATATTTGGCATTTGAAAACCCTTGTGGCTTTCTTAAGCATCGGCTGGATAGGCCACCAACCCTCGCTATTGTCTATTTGATGTAAGTCCCAGCTGCATAAATCAAAGAAGAAAACGTGGTCTGTTATTACACTTCGGACCTCGAACACGTATAATAAAAACTGTTCACCAGGTGACAACGGAGAGTTTGGTACGTTATTGAACATGTCGATCTGTACAATTACGAGTTATGGTGAAACGTGGCCACGTTAATTTTTTCCTTCTAATCAGCCTCAGCTCCCTTCAAACTTATAAGGCGGCTACCCTATGCCCAAGCATCAGTCGATGTTAAATTTTAAAATTAATTGCCTCAGTCTCGGATCTGCTCTTCTCGTTCTTGTTTTTGTTTTTGTCTTTTTTTACCTTTTTTAGCGTTTGTCAATCGAGCATGTAAACAAACGCCTCGGAAAGATGTGGCGATTTTAATTTAAGGTTGAAGACAACTAACAAGTCACTTTTAAACGATGTCTTCTTTTAAATGATGTCTTCTTTGGTTCAGAACATTAGTAGGGTGAAAACCTTCCCTGCAAAACTGGACTATGAACTCTGATGACATGACGGGTGCAAGTGAATCACACACGCCATATGCCGAGTCATCCAACCAATCAGACAAAAATGACAATGTACACCAACATAATAACATATCCATAAGAATATAAATATCTTATTGAACTCATTAAGGAGATTATTTCCTTATTTTAGACTCAGCATTGGAAATGAGCTAATCAAGGACAATTTTGCTTCTGTCCTCTGGTAGAGATGGGCGCACCTGTCAGCAATCTGCATTTTCTATGCGTTAGTCTTGTCTTTGCTAACAGCTGTTTACCAAATTAACATCTCTTTAGCTGAAAGAACTCCATTGGTGAAGGTAACAAGTAATTGCAATAAAATTAGTGGGAGTAAATTAACACTCGCCATTGTTCTAGACAAAGCCGGGCGGAAATAATGAACACATACATTAATACGTGGATTAAAATGAAGCCAAACAAAGTAAAAGTCACTTAACTCGCCGGTCACTGCATCACCAAAACGTGAGCAGAACTGAAACCTGAGATAAAATAGACCGGATTGATACTCTGACAATAACTGTTCATTGTTTAGGTCCAGTGATTTATCTTTAAAGACAGGAAGTGCGTTTTGACATGCCTGCCAGTGAAGTCTCCAGTCGACGAAGCTCTGTGACGGCGGATGTTCAGAACAAACCGGCAACACTAAACATACAAGAGCCAGTCGCCAGGCAGATTCATACGCTGTCAGCAACTTCTAGGACCAACGCAGCGACCAGGCGAAAATCCATGAGTTTGTATCCCAGATCACATCAAGCCGGCCAAACCGAGCTTCCGCATCAACTGGCAGGAAAGATTGCCAATACATACAACCTACGTCCTGATGCAGACAAGCGATTTCGCTGTAAGGATGTCAAGGACGTCATAGACAGCGTCTTGGAAAGCCACCTTAAAGAGCTTCCTTACGATCCTGAAAAATGTAAGAGCTTGCTACCCAGCATCGCAGACGAAATCAAGGACAAAGTCAAGGTGCTTGGTTTTGAAAGGTTTAAACTTGTTTGTGTTGTGACCATAGGACAATTGAATAACCAAGGAGTACGTTGGGCGAGCCGGTGCCTGTGGGATGTCGAAACCGATCGCGTGGCATCATCATCGTTTTGTGGTAATGATCTCTTTGCTTCAGCCGCAGTGTTTGGAATTTATCGCGAATAGATATAGTTATTTATCACATGAGTGATTCTAAAAAACGCTCAATGATTTTATTACTGCTTAAGTGCTTCTGTTGGGATGATTAAGTTTCCTCTGTTGTTAGAAGATATCTTGTTTGGGGCTTTTTATTTAAGCTTTTATTTATAACAATAGGTAATTTAGTAGATGAAACAGAGCAAATTTTGAAAATGCTACACGAGAGCCTTTTTAGGCTATTTGAAAATTTCAAGTAACACTGAGCCCGTTTGGAAATTTTAAACGATTTAACTGGTTTTCACTCACCTTGGAAAGATCGGATCACGTTCTCCCGGTGAGATTCAAAAGCACTTTGATAATGAGGATAAAGTATTTCAGATTTCCTTATAAAATTTTAGTTTATTTGTTGACTGCAAGTTCGCGAATCACTGAGAACGTTTTGATTTCCTCCCTTAGGGTATTTTTGAAGGAAAAGTGTGATTGTTGACACGTTCCCGTTCCAAGGTATGTAATAATGTTCTTCATCCATGGCGTGACTTGGAATTTTTACTCACAATGTCTTACGCTTAACTTCAAGAAAAGCTAGTTTTCAAAAGACACAAATCAAAAAGTCCAACGGAGGGGTTTACAAACAGAAATTAAAATGTAAACCATTAATTTTCATGATGTTTATTTTAAGATTAGAAGAAGGGTTGGGAATTTGCTTGTTATCATTCGCGGGTTATCATGTTTGTCGTACTCTTCAAGATATCTGTGTGTTAAAGTGTTCAGGTTTGGTTGTTATCAATCTCCATCATATTGTTTATGAAATTATTGGTGAGGACTCAATTGAAGTATTGTTCGTGCTTCATAGTTTTACTGCCGCCGACATAAACGTGCGATCTCCATGGAAACGATGAGCAAAGATAAGCTTAGCATTGTGTGACAGTGCGCTGTACAGGAAGTGTGTAAACCTTTAGTTATTTCAAAACAATTATGTAGCATAGGTATAAAGCAATGAAATGGCTTCTGTACACAATTTTAGGTTGGGTCGGTTCAATCAAGTAGTCAGAGATCTAATTAAAGTTTTATGTTAGTGATTTGAAGAAGACCTCAACTTTGATTTCTGTACAGAAAGCAAAAACAATATACGAGGGGCAAAATTGGAAAAGATCAAAAGTAATCGCGGTTTGGTTGAAAAACTTCCACTAAATTCCTCAAGTTTATCTCAAACTGTCCCAAACTGCGGCAAAGTGTTATTTCGCACCGGAAAAACAATCCTTATCTGTTAATATGTACTTGTGCTTTAGTTATATATGGATGTTGGTCTTAACAATTTATTAAAAGCAATTCGAAGT